CCTAACGAACACGCAGTGACCCGATTTTGTAAAGAGTGGTGCTCGAAAACTGCGTCGGAACATTACGGCACCAGCAAAAGTGAAACCAAAATCTAATGCAGTGTAACGTGTGCTTGAAAATATTGAAAGAAAATTTTTGCTGAGAACTGATTGGTGAGAATCTTAATTGGGATATCCGAGAAAAATTTCCTTCTTCTCACGTTTTCTTTTTCCATATATATGTGTTCTTTTATTCTTCGATGTTTTGGAACTACATTAGAATATTCCGCCACTTATTTCAGGGAGCCCGAATTGGCTCGGAATCGCCAAAACGCACCAAATCTGCCAGTGCCCGGTGATGCTCGTCAAGTAGAGGAATATGTTTTCCAGAAGTGCCTTAGCAAGGACGAGTATATGAGGACGATTGCGAAGGTAAGCATTATTGTCAGAGTGTGTAATTTTATTTCTTTTCCAATTTCAAAGTATCTCTAAGACAATCTATGCCAAGTATATGATTCTTGGGCTAAAGAGAAGGGTCAAGAGTGTGCTAAGCTGGTTAAATGCCGTTTCCCTTCATACTTTTGCGCTATAGATGTTTATGTCGATCGATTTAAACTCATCTTTCCCTTTTACGTGAATATTCTTGGTCGTACTATTTAATTTTTCTAACTGCATCACTGATGCCTTACCGTAATGCCATGGTACACTCCGTCTTGTTGATCTTAGGCAAGCGGGCTAGAAGCAAAGCCGAAAATTTACAAGAACCTGCCCCAAGAGACAAATTATGGCGGAAGAATTAACCTCCTGACAGTTTTTTGAAGATAATACGAACGAAATTTCAAGTGATCATTCGAGCCAAACTATCAGTGCCTGTTGTCTGCACATCCGACTATTAAGCGATCATACAACTTTACGATGTATGATGATCTGTGACATGTGTTCGCCAGTTGGTCGTGAGAAAAGCCTTGAAAAACCATAGTGAACCCGTGTGAGTGTTGAGAAAATTGTTTTGCAAATTTAGCAAGTAAATTCGCGATTGAGATCTAGTAAGTGGTGTAGCTAATTCGAATTTTACTTCAACATACGATCAATCCTTGTGTGTTCATTCTGGCCCACCATGCTATGTCTCTATTCCAAGCTCATGAAATGGATACAAATCCTTGTCCATTGGCTTCGCAGGACAGGATGAGAGTTCGTTGGGTATCTGTTGAAGCGCTGGAATAGCGCTGGATCCATCTGAACTATTTAGGTTGAAGGCAAGTGACACAATTAATCCCCAAGCCATGTGGAACAGATACGCTTAGTAGGCAGAATACGGCACCCTGAGCAGGTGCTGCGTGGCGCCTTTTTCGAGTAAAGTACTTCATAGCGCCCTATCAAGCTGCAAGCACCGACCTGTACGCCCGCCGTGCCTTCTCCCACAAATGTCCGCATGGCTGATGCTCCTATAAGCTTAACTTGCGAGTAGGACATGAAAGTGAAAGGATTTCAATGAAAGGTAGATTCTGTGGAGTAATACATGCTAGCCGTAGTCTTGCCTGTGGGCGGTCCTGGCAGCGTGTCTGGCGGAGAAACTCCGCTCAAAAATTTTTCTGAGTGGATGATGGTTCAGAGGCTTTTTATAGCTTCTTGACCGTCTGCCACGCGTTTCTTTTTCGGGCATTTTTGTCTAGAAAGCTATTTAGCACGCATCGTACATTTTTAAGACCGTGTATTGAATTATCGTGTGTTGTGTCTCAACGGAAACGGGGGTCCTATGTTCTTTTGTTATTTTCATTCAAGAACTCCAAGCTCGCAGTAGTACCACAAGAAATGAGGATTGATGGAAGATGGAGTGAAACTTGGGGATTACCGAAATTCTGAATTTTGCAAGAGGGTTGAATGCTGTTAAGAAAGTAGAACCGCAAAGGTGGAGCTGAAAGATTGCGCCGCTTGTAGTTGCGACGCGAAATCCCCGTTTCAGACCTAGGGCTTTTTTTTCAAGGTCAAATCTTTTAATCTCGCGTGTTTTGTATACGTTTTTCATTGACGCATTCGATTGCTTTGCAAAATGAGCACTTAACCGCCTTGCAACTGGTTATGAAGAGTGGGAATAAGTGGGACACATTCCTAGTTATTTATTATTATTATCTATATTATTTATTTTATATATTTTATTTTATTTTATATATTCTATTTATATTATTTATTTATTTATAATAGGAGAAGCATTCAAATCCCTTGGTTTTCAATAACCAGTGAAGCCCACTCAATACAATTTTTCGTGATGGATAGTGTACATATTTCGCAGACAAACGCGCTTCAGGTCATCAATGCGATCAATTGCAATTCCAAATCGGCAGCAGTTCCATCCGTGCTTCAACCTTCATTCCACAGTCCCCCGTGTTCTGCTCCGAATGTAAATAATGCAAGTACAAATTCGACGTCATATCGAGCATCAGTGCCTCCAGATCCCCAACCCACACAGGTAATATCTGTTTCATACAAGTTTTTTCTAAGGCTGCGTTTACACTTTGCGGCAGCGTACCAGCATGCGCTAGCGTTTCCAGCGTTCGGCAGCGGCAGTGGCAAGGGAAGGATGGATATCGATCTAGCGTCACCAGCGTACGCTAGCGTAACGCTAGAGTATTCTAGCGTAGCGTTCGATTGCGCGTGCTCCGAAATTGCAGCGTGTGTAGCCGCAGTACTAATACCGTACACTAAATTCGTTAAATTTGCATAAATATGTGGTTTAGCTGTTGGAACGGAATGTTTTTTAATTGTCGCACCGGAATTGAATTGAACTGTGGAAACGCTATTGAACACATTGAACTATTCCTACCCCAAAAACTCAAAGAAAAATTCGTTCCCTGAAACTTCGTCTTTAGATTATTCAATGTACTGATCACGAATGCAACAGTCATTTATGGCGCTGGGGCCATTTGGCGCCAGTGGGCGAATACTTTTCTCGCCAAATTTGATGCATACTTGTATACGGGGGTTAACTGACATCCATTATCAAGGATATGGCATTTATTTTGTCGCTGGTGCCATTTGCCCCCCACTGGGCGCCAGTTTGGCCCCACACCCTCTCTTCCCAAAATCGATAAAAACTTTCGTGATCGATGTCCTGATCACGAGTTTAGCATTTACTATATTTCTCCATACCAGCGACATTTAGCGTTATGCTGAGGCTGAACCTGGAAAAGGTGGAATCTTTCAGGCCAAGACTGGGGTACCAATAGTTCAATAAATGCTGGCTTTTGCAGGTACCATCTCTTTTTTAGGGCTGATCTGTTGGAGATTGATCTTTTTTTTGAGAACTTTTAGTAATTCGTATGAACGGTTTCTGGTCGAATATACGGCTGACAAATACATGCTCATTCTTATAAAAGATCCTAGATGGTCCCACGCTTATCGTAATAATGATGGGAATGATCGGTTCATGTTTGCATTTATGCGTTGTGCAATTCAACCAACTCAGTGTACGGTATTAGTTCTGCGTTGTGGCCGCACACGCCGCAATTTCACAGCCCGCGCAATCGAACGCTAGGCTAGCGTAACGCTAGAGAACGTTACGCTAGCGTACGCTGGTGACGCTAGATCGATATCCATCCTTCCCTTGACTGCCGCTGCCAAACGCTGGAAACGCTAGCGTACACTGCCGCAAAGTATAAACGCAGCCTAACTGCTTAGACGAGACAGCTCTCTGTGTGCTGCTGGTATGCGCAAACTGGCGTATTCAGAATCGAAGTCAAAGCCAGGGAACGGCACCAGCAACTGCTCCACCACAGCTTTCTCTTCAGCAGCAACAACAGCAACAACAACCGCCTGCACCTGTGATGGGGAATCAACAGTCCGCATATCCTTCGCCTGATCCATCTCGACCACCACAACAAGCTTATGCTGCGCCACCACTTGGTCAACCGCCACCACAAATGCAACCCCCGGGAGCACAGGCGGTCCCGCAACAGCAGGTGAGTGCATTACCATCTTTGACTGTCCTGTATTTTGTTTCCTCTTCACTTGGCCTGAAGACAGACTGTAACTCACCTTCCTCGGAGACGGGCAAGAGAATCGTAAATTGCCGCTTCGTCACGCGCGGCAATGGGCGCGATG